TTCATCGACTTTGAAAAGGCCTTTGACAGCGTCGATCGAGAGATGCTTTGGCAACTACTTCGCTACTATGGGGTGCCGCCGACAATTATACATCTCATCCAACAGTTGTATGACAACGCTGCATGCCAAGTAATCCACAACGGGAAACTTACGGAATCCTTCGAAGTGAGAACAGGAGTAAGACAAGGTGGCCTACTATCGCCAATGATTTTCCTGATTGCAGTAGATTGGATAATTCGACAAAAATTAGGCAATGAGGAGACAGGCATACAATGGACTCACACAAAAAACTTGGAGGATCTGGACTTCGCCGATGATATATGTCTGATTTCCCACAAACTGGAAGATATGCAAGCGAAAAGCAACAAGTTGGCAGAAGAAGCATCAAAGATAGGACTTCAGGTGAATATAGAGAAAACAGAGGTGATGAAGATTCCTGGGAAACACCACCAACAGCAACAACAACAACAGACAACAATCAGCATAAATGGGAGGAACCTGAAAGAAACAACCTCCTTCACCAACTGACCTGGGAAGCATCCTTTCAACTACAGGCGGACGGAACTGACGAGGATATCAAAGCAAGGATCGGAAAGCAAGACAAGCTTTCACTACTCTCAAGTCTGTGTGGAGGTCAACAGCACTCAGCATCAAAAATAAGATCCGGATTTTCAACTCCAATGTGAAGTCAGTCAGTGCTACTTACTATACAGATCAGAGACTTGCATGCGCGTCATAAAGAGCATCTCAAACAAACTACACACCTTCATTCACAGCTATCTTCGCTCAATACTCAAGATCAGATGGCCGGTCAGAAAAGATCAGCAACAGAGAGGGATCTCTGGCAATGAGCGAACCAACTCATCAGGAACCGATTGTGAAACAAATAGGCAGGAAGAAATGGAGATGGATTGGCCATACTCTGAGGAAACCATCAAGTGACATCACTAGACAAGCCATTGCTCGAGTGGAACCCGAAAGTGAAGCGGCGAGTTGGTCGTCAGTGTGATGGGTGACTTGGAGGAGGTCATGTGAAGAGGAGATGAAAGCATGTGATGGCAGACTTGGAGCCAGGTGAAGACTCTAGCAGAGAACCGAACGCAATGGATACGCACGGCTGAAGCCCTATGTTCCTATAGGAATTAAAGGAAACAATAATAATAATAAATATAAAAGTCGAAAAGATCAGCAACCGTGTAAATTCACCATCAAAAACCAATTTCTGTAACCTAGAATAATACTCATCCATGTCTGTACAACTGATGTGTTCCTGCATAGACAGGAATAAATATATTAGTATAATTATAATTATTATTGTTGGCCCTACGTATGTAGCCTATTATGTTTCTTACTATTTTAAGTATCTAAAAAAACCGATACTTGAAAATTAATCTAGTAATTGACTACAGCATGAAGTTGCGTGAAGTTCCAGTGAGAAGTTATGACTAGTGGGGTCCCTTTAACTGAGAGTGATCACAAGTGCTTGTCAATGACACTGGCTGGTAGTCACACTATATATATATATATATATATATATGTCGCGAATCGACAGAAGTCAGGACTAATGCACCATTGGATTGAGTCTCAGTGGCTGAAAGGTCAGCAAGCTCGCCTTCTGACTAATGAATTTCCGGTGGTTTGTTCCCAGATGAATGGAGTGATCATAATCGTTGGCTGACGAAGAGTCTGAAACTGGGACAGAATAACTCTTAAATACACTCTGCTTTCAGTGGTTCTCTAAATGAAGTCATTTAGTAATCAGACTTGTAGTTTCGCTACAAACTAAGCCCTGGGATCCGTAGAGGTAATGTTTTCAATTTCGGTTACTAAGACACATTCACCATCATATGTATATCATTAAAATGAATGAACTAAATTATACAAAAGTTGGTGAGTCGGTGACACAGCGGCTAGAACGCACTCCAAGCATGCACATGGTCCAGGGTTCGATACCCGGCCACTGACGCACTCCTTTAACTCGCTAAGCTAGTAATAAAGCTGGTAGAATGGAAAGGTTGGGCATGAGGCTAGCAACCCCATCCTGTAAGAAAATAAACACTGCTACAGAAACTTCAAGCCACTAGCTTGAAGCCCTTTGTTCCACTAGAAACGTGAAGGAATGAAACAAAACTAACAAAATCTTTTGAATCTTAGGTGATGAATGCTTGCCAGATAAAATTTTCCCTATTAACTGTCTTCTGCTGGATTGAAATACTCGGTCTCAGCACCCAGTAAGGACGCTTCGACCATGTGTAAAAATTAACATAGTGCTACTTGGTTGATGGAGGTTAGTAATGGAATCCAAGATGCCCACTTTGTCCTTTAAGGAACTGGTTGTCTGAATGTACTAGAATTCTCAGTGAATGAAAAACTGGTGGTGTTTCCATTGAATAAGGTCCAATAGACTTATCTGTTGGACCTGGGTGGGGCTCATGACAGTCGGCCCTTATAAAACGAGTATTAACTAATAATTCCTGAAGTTATTTTCAGTGGGTCCCAGTTTCAGTGAGAAGTATCATCCATCACAGGGGATACAAGTACATGCAACTGATACGTCCCAAGTAAAAGGGGACTGACATCATGGATTCCCTGTGCTAGTTACTAACAGCTAAGTGAGATTTTCTATGTACTTATAGACAAAAACTGATTGTAATTTTGGTCAGTTGGTGACATCACACAATGTGTGAACTATAATAACAATAATAATAATACGAATAATGGAATCAAGTTATCGCAATAAAAGAAACACAATACATATCTAGTTGTACGGGAAATTTTCACGTAATACATCGTACTGCTTAGATGACTGCCTATCTCATCCAATATTATGCATAAAGCGAATTGAAAGTATTGAGTGGGCTATATGAGGCAGATGACATGAATCTCTAGATGCCCTATAAAATCTCTGCTCACGCACATGCACTCCTCCTTCCGTTGTTTCTGCATTTTAGGCATTCTGAACAGTAAAATATTCACCTTTGTAAAAGAAATTTCAAAATAGGCTTGACAGAATTTGGATCACACTCATTAGTAAATATTACTACTGCAAGAGACTGTCTAAAGATTATTCCCAGTTAAATATTCTCGTTATGTGAAGCACAAAAATCCGAATCATTTTCATAATAGAAATGAATAATTAGTCCTTCTGGCATATTGCAAAAGATTTGTGGTTTATGTGGGTTCTTACGAGTTTCATCACGGATTGTGATGTCAGTTAGAGAAGCATTGAAAACCAGGGAGTATTGGACAGCTGCTGTTTCATCCTAGTTTGGGAATCATAGGAATCCAGGTGAACATAGACAAGACGGAGGTTATGAAAATAACCTATCAACAACAACAACAACAGCAGCCGCAACATCCAGTGCCAATCACTATCAACGGGAGGGATTTGAAAGAGGTTACTTCATTCACTTATCTAAGTAGGGAGCATTGTCTCAACTACAGGCACATGGAACGGACGAGGATGTCAAATCGAGAATCGGGAAGGCGAGAAACACATTCATCAACCTGAAACCAATCTGGAAATCTTCGTCACTCCTCAGCATCAACAACAACAAAATTCGGATTTTCAATACAAACGTCAAGTGAGTCAGTTCTCCTATACGGATCAGAAACTTGGCCAGTGTGTCACAAAGAATATTTCCAACAGCCTGTTGCACATCTTTATCAACAGCTGTCTTCGTTCTATACCCAAAATCAGATGGCCAGAAAGAATCGCCAACAAGAAACTATGGGAACAAACAAAACAAGAACCAATCGCCCAACAAATATGCATGAGAAAGTGGCGATGGATTCGGCACTCACTGAGGAGGCCACTGGGTGACATCGCGCGTCAGACCAGTGCTCGAGTGGAACCCCAAAGGGAAGCGGCGAGTGGGACGTCGGTGCAAGGGTGACATGGAGGAGATCGTGTCAAGAGGAGTTGAAACAGTATGGATTAACATGGATGCTAGTGAAAAGTACAGCAGAAGACAGAAGCAAGTGGAGACGTGCAGTTGGAGCCCTATGATCCACTAGGAACCCAAGGGAACAATAATACAATAATAATCGTTTAATCATTTACCATTTCATTGTCACTTCCATGATGCCTCAAGCAAAAAAGGTATTCGAAATGTATTCAACTGATAATCAATATGTATTTGTTTATTCTCCAGTATACTACAAGTTTAGTGGGCCAAGATACAATGAAAAAAATAATTGTTATTTTCCTGATTACTACACACACACAAGAATGAAGCGCGTTAGGACAGCTAACCAACTAACACTAGTTATCCTGTTACTGCCGCAATTACTGTTCAAAATAGACTGTCTGTAGCATCAACCTTGGTCTTCTTCAACTTTAAATATATATTCAACACTCCCAAGTATATTGTGATAATCACAGAATATTCACAGCCATATAATTAATTAGAAAAAAGTATTTAAAAAAAAACCAGGCTTAATTTAAACAAAGCACTAACAGATCAATAAAAAAAACAATGACAACAGATAATCAAAATACATACATACATACACAAAAAATGAAACCAAAGTTTACACATACACACGCACAAAAAATGGGATATGGGATAGGGTAGGGGCGTAAAGGGGGAGAGCTCACTTTCATTGCCAATGATATTGTATTAATTAATATGAAGATAAAAATGCAATATTCAAATGGTTGTGATGTGATGAACCACCAAATACGATATTGAAAATTCTCCTTTGGTATATACCGTTTCACTGGTCTGGCTTTCAGGGCGAATTCAATACACTTGCGCTAAACACACACACACACGCAAAAGCAGACAGACACCAACAGAAGAAATAGAAAGACATAATTATGTAATAGTGATATAGAAAAGAAAAAAAGTATGTGAGCAAAACTCGTTTTAGAAACAAAATAATAATAATCATGATAATAAACCAGAGTAGAAAGTAGAAAAATCGTCTAAGGAATGGTGATTTTGCTTTAGAAGTCAGCAAAGTGTGTGTCTGTCTAACAAGACCTTTTAATAAAATTAAATTAATCTTTCTTCTTGTGGTATTTTAATAATTGTCTGTGGTTCCGGCTCTTTGAAAGCATTGGCTTTATTCTCCATTTGATTAGGATGATATATGCCATGAGCTGCCCGACGTGAATGCAACCAACGATATAAGAAATAACCGCCTACAGCTAACCCGGCAACACCGATTATCGGGACAATAATAGCAACAGCTAGGAGGCCAGGACTTAGACCAGTAGGGCTGGATTGATTTGTATCTGTTGAATTTGTCGAGGAGGAGGACGAGGAGGCTGATGATACATCACGCCTGTAACGACGTCGTTGTTGCGGTACACTCTCTGAATGATCATCAAGTGTTGTTTGCACACTTGGCATAATCGCTTCACAGTTAATTAAGGATAAACAAAAGCTTGGAATATTCTCCTGTAGACATGATGGAATCGTTGGTGAGGTTAGTTTTCCAATCACTTTAACACCGTTATCAACAAATAGGCTGTTGAATAGGGTAAAAGTGAACACATGTATTGTGTTTGATGATGGCTTAATGACGGGTAATTCAATTTGATTTATACTCAATGAATTATTGATATACTGTAATATAGGCGTCAATAATGAGTTTGAAGAATAATACGGATACATTGAATTCCTCCTCCTCCTATTAGTCAGTTGAAATACAGCCCATAGTCTTTCATTCATCTCTTTCGATTCTATTGGTTGTAAATAAAAATTGAATAAATCCACTGTGGATGGAATCATAATAATTCCTGGATCGTTGATATACATCAATAAGCAAAAACTGTGTGTTTGTTTTAACTCATCAGTCACCATCATCGGTGATGGCGCCGACGTAGATGTAAGCGTAGGATACGACGACATCTTTATTCGGCGGTCGTTTAGTGGTAATTCTAGAGAAGTGACTGAAATTTGTGGTAATCCATTCAGCATTATTATTTCTTCATTATACTGTTGACAGGAATATCTTGGTATTAATATAGAGTTGTATATTAGTAGTACTATTATCAAATACATATCTCCGTTTACACTTAAATAATTCACACCGGTGATTACGAGAGATTATGAAGTTCACCTTATTCCATTGTTTATACTCGTTTCTGTCTTTTAGACTATGATAAGATATTCCACAAATTATAATAATAATAATAGTAATACTGAGAGTAGTAGTTCCATTTAATTATGAACAGCAGCAGTGATCACGGGCTAAAAATGAGCTCCTCTTTGATGACATAATCTTGATATTATTTATTTATTTATATATGATAATCAATGTTGTACACACATTTGTAGTAAAAACAGAAAAGATCGAAGATGACTTATTATATTTACTACATATTTATACGTAAATGTATCAGCAATTTGATTGGTCAATTTTGGTGAGTAGGCCTTAGTTAGTGTGCTAAAGTGTACGTGTGTGTGTTTGTGTGTGTCAGGTGGCATCTTGTGTAGGTGTGCATATTCTCTCTTTATCTCTATCTCACTCACACACATACACACACACACTAAATTGTCAAATCATCTTCCTTCATATGGTATAATATACTTCATTAAGTGTTGGTGTGTTGCAAAAATGCACGCACACACACACACACACTAACACCTACTTATTGATATACGTGATACCTCAACAAGTACTGCACGCAAGAGAGCACGAAACCAAGCTGCATTGCAAAATTAGGATGTGATTAACTTGCTTAGTGTGTGTGTGTATGTGTGTATATGCGTGTATCTTCTAGCTACAGTTCTAAGTAAGCGTTACATAAAAACGTGTAAACGAACACCATAACCGGTGGTGGGTGAGATTACCATCCAACCATGCATGCTTGGAAAGGTTAAACGAAATAACATAATTTATGCAGTTTACACTAGCTTTTGGTTTTTGGTAAAGAAAAGGACAAAATATATGAAGAGCAACAAACAGAAAAGATTTTTCTAAGAAAAATATTTTATTGACCGCAAAACTGTTTGTTTATTTTTATCTAGCAGTTGGTAACTAACAGTGTAGAATCTAGGATGCATATTTCGTCCCATCTTGGGACTCGTCAGTTAGATGTGCCTTCAGTGACCAGTGAGTGGTGCTGTTCCCTCACAAAGAGTGCCTGTCGTTTCGTATGCCAAAGAGTTATTCACTAGAACATTCCGGTCACGAGAGATTACTCTTGTACAACAGGGATAAGTTATTGTTTTGCGTAAGTCAATTTTACTTTCCCCTTGGATTGACTGAAGCGAAAAGTTTGGCTTCTGTATGAGGTATAGCCGGATGATGAGTCTCCCGAAGGACGAAATGCGCATCCAGCATTTCAGTACTAGTCACCATCTACCAAATGATATAAGCGTTAATATTTGGATATCTTCGAAGTGCCCGTACTGAGAGCAAGTCAACATGTCACCGGGAAAAACAGCATTGATGTTCAACACAATAATGTCTTCAAGAATTTTGTTCCAAGTTTAGCTACGGATTGATATCAGCTACAGAAACATTGAAAACAACTATGGGATACTGGTTGGACAGTTGTTTCATTTCAATTTGAGACTCATCAGGAGGACGCACCCACTAACCAGGCAGAAGTTGGAATTCACGGGCTGGTCATTGTGTCAGATCCTGGTGTCTGAATGCTCTACGAGCTTACTCTGTAACCAGAAGGTCCTAGGTTCAAACTCAAGTGGGTGCCGATGAGTCACAGACTAGAACGAAACAGCTGTCTTGTACTCCCTGGTTATTTTGCAATGGTTCTCTAACTGATATCACTCCGTGATCAAGCTTGAAAATAACGTGTATATGTCTGTGTTGCTTATTGTGGCTCAGTGTCATCAGGTGGATGTATCTACTTGTGTTCCAGTGTGATGACTACCCGCCTGCTGACAATCAAACTCATTACATGTATGGGATTTGAAACACCGAGAGAATGTGATTCAACGAGGAATCAATAATTATTTCAAGAATGAGTTTCTTCTAAGGAAGAAAGTAAACTTTGTTGCCATACTAACACACAGTGTATGCATGAAAGTAGCCATATTTTCCATTTGCATACTGATTTACTTTATTTTGATCAAAATGCACGATCACTTTAAAAAGTTTTGGAAAGGATGAAGGGGAAGTGAAATTTCAAAGTAGAATTTTGTATAAAAAATGCAGCAGTTCAATTTGCCACATCTCATACTGAGAATTTCACCAATGGAACTGTGAAAATTGCAAATTTGAATGCATCTGTACCACTCAGTACGAATTTTAGTCATTTTGTGGTGAGAGCTGACTGCTAGCCAAAGTTGGTACACAGTAATTGACGTCAATGTTTATGTCCCCAATATTGGTGGTGAGAAAATGAGAACAAAGACTTTGCGTAGGCGGATACAGTTAGCATTTAGATGATCTGACACAGCCACAAAGAGATGCAAGGTTAACTGTCTGTGAGAAACAACCAATCAAAAGACTGTATTTTCTACTAACAATAATCTACAATAATGTACATAAAAATCTATAAATATGTGTTGATTTTCCTTAGTAAAGGATCTGTTGCCTGGCCCTTGTCTTCTGTTGTTACAATTTCACCAAAAGTCTCTCTCCGATTATTGATTCTTAGCGTCTCGGTGAACCCAGCCATCTACATGGCTAAAATCAACTGTGGAATACTTCATGCATGGAATGATGTCAGGTTTTGGTTCGAATACTCATAACTCTTTTTCGACACTTAATCCTATGTTAGTTAACATTAATGGATATGGAAGGCGGTAGTTCAGTATGCCAGCAAAGTTAAACTTTAAGCACCACTAACTACCACCAATCAGTGAATGGCCTCTAACGCACCAATAGACAGGGTAGGAGTACATTAGACGCTGCAGCTGTCTTACACAACAACATCGTCTCATCATTAGATAAAGGTGCCAAATACGTCCGCTGCACGTTTCTTGACTTCACTTCTGCTTTCGACTCTGTTCCTAGATGTCTCCTGCTAAATAAGCTCTCTTTGACGAAAACTGAGTCCTGGGTCACCAACTGGTTGCATTCCTACTTCTCAAACAGAATGCAGTACACCGTATACAAAGGTAAATCATCCTCTGCTGCACTCACTGAAGCCGGAGTCCCCCAAGGCGCTGTACTCTCCCCACTTCTCTTTTCTTTCTTTCTACATGACTTACCATCTTCAAATGACATTAATTTTGTCAAATACGCTGACGATCTGTCTGTATCTTTGCCTATCAAATGTCAAAGCGACTGCTCTAAACTTAATGGCTTTCTGTCAGAAATCAGCCAGTGGTCCAAGGAAAATGGTCTTACTCTAAACCCCTCCAAATGCCAAACAGTCAATTTCACCTTTAGGCATAAATCCGACCTAAACAAACTGGTTGGCTCTCATGAGGTATGCAACATAGACGGCACTGAAATAGAAACTAAATCGGAAATTAAATACCTAGGCGTCATTCTATCTACTGATCTCTCCTGGTCGTCTCATATCTTAGCAATTTCTAAGAAAATATTCCGTCTTACCTTCTACATTAAGAAGTTAAAACATTCTGGTATTACCCAACCCTTACTCCTACAATTCGTTAATTCTCGCATCCTGCCTATTATTCTCTATTGTTCCCCCTTAGTTTTTCCCGGGCTACTGAAGAAAGACTATAACAATATTACGCAGGATGTTAAATGTCGTCAGCAGAGTAAGCAACGTGCCACTTAACCAGCTTGTTAATATTTTGGTTGACAGGCACATGGACTCATGTGAAAAATGGGCCAAATCCATCTTATCTAACTCACACCACCCTCTTCACTCACAACTCTCCCCTTGCATCTCATCAGGTAAAACAAGAAGCCAATATAGAAAACTATGTGCTCGCACCAGCAAATACAAAAACTCAACCATACCCTACTTAGCTCGTGTTCTGTGTGATAAAGAAAGCATCAGGCGTGACACCTATAATTCATTAAATAGTCATTAGTACAACTGGATCTCATCTTTCCAACCCACTTCACCAATAGGTACAACATTTTCTTTCTTTCTGTTCCTTTTCTCTCTCTTCTTTTTCCGTTATGTGCTGCTTTGTCTCTTTCTCTCGCTTACGCCAGTTAATAAGACAGCTCCCACTTTTCTAACACCTTCAAACACTGTTTCAGCTTTACCTTTGCTACTGACATGCCAATGTATTGTTGTCATAATGAACTGCGGTTTCCTCAATCTCTGTAGAATTCTATTTATTGATAATGTACAAACTGGATGCAATACTGTAGTAAAAATGCTGAGAATTCCATTCTGTATCACAAGTACTGTTTTGGAATAAAGCAAATTATTATTATTATTATTAATCACGTGAAGGAGACATTTTTGTGTAGGGAATACATATATATATTTATGAAATAATGCATAAGCACTGTAGAAAAGTGTTACAGAGGGTACTTTCCTCTCATATGTGATAAAAATAGCTCTGAGGTTTAGGTTGGAGTATCAACAGAGTACAATTCCATTGTGGATAAAATTTATTTTGATAAAGTCTCAAGGTGTAATACAGTAATAGTTACTTGGCAATAAACTGTGCTCGAAACGAGGTCACCAGTAAATGTTACTGTATAATATTCTGAGAATTTATCAAAAAATAGATTTTACCCACAATAGAATTACACTCTACCTCCACAGTGCAAAAGTTCTATTCTTATATCAACAGAGTAATTTAACCACATTCTATGCCTGTAATTATTTAGGTCTTCTAACCCTAACAATAACCCTAATCATTCCTGAACCTAACTCTAACGTCAAAATATCCCTAAACTAATTGTAATCTAACTCGAAACAACCTTAATGTCATATTTATTAAGTTAACCTAACCCTAACTTGTCATTGGCCTAGACCTTAACTTAATCTTTCCCAAACCTAAGGTGAAACTTGCCAGATATCCCTTTTAAAAGCATAACACTTTGATGAGCATATTTTATTGATGATGACAACATTATTTGCCGG